TTCATGATTATATAATAACAAATATTATGTATTTGGTTTGTTGGATAAACGTGACATTTAGTTTGGTTTGCAGGATTGGGATTGATAAGTTATGAAATTACAAAATACCCCTTATAACACTTTAAATATCATTATCCTCACAACAACAACAAAAAAAAAATTTAAAGTAATTCAACATCAAAATATATTGTCAATTAAACGAACTAACTTAATATTTGTATTTCAATGAACAGACAATAGAATCTAATATAATATTTGTAAAATGAAATGGAGTTTACAAAATAATTTATTGCACAATAGATAATGGGACTTTTTTTATTTAATTATTTATTTATAGTCATTTTTATGGTAAATAATAGCACAATTAAGCCCCTTCTCGTCATTTCACGTTTTACTCCAATGAATGATTACACAATCAGACCTTATGGGGTAGGATAATTTATCAGCCATGATTAGATACCGGGCTTTTAATCTATCATGGGTTCTTGTACAACGAACCAAATGTCTGATTAGGGGTGATTATTCTGTCTATCACCCCTTATCTTCCAACAAAGGGGGCCTAAAACAACCCTTCCCGACCCGAACCGGATCCAAACCCAAATACAGGATTCCATTTTCCACAAACCAAAATTTTAAATCCAACTAAAAGTTTTTAATTGTTGTGGGCCTGGGCCGATCAGAAAGAGAAATAGGATTAAATAATATGGCCGAATTTTATTAGTACGCCCTCATCGTTTTATTTAGTCTTGCTTTAGTCCCTCGTCTTTCTATTGTCTCATTTTCATCCCTCATTGTTACAATTCATCTCATTATAGTCCCTTGGTGAATAAATTTATCAACTAACTGTGTCTCTTCAAGATTAGATGGGATATTTCATTGTTAATTATTTTTATAACTTATGAAAAAACAATAGATAATTAATTTTATAATTTAAAAATAATATTTACAACCAAGAAAAATATAGTTTATTATAAAAATATTATTTAAAAAGTTAACAGCATATTAATTTATATTAATATAAAAATAACTATTTAGATTTATTTTGTTGATATGACTTGCATTTAGGAATATATCAAATGATTATAATATATCATCTAAATAAATCCTTTATTTTAATTTTTTTATTTCTTTATGATTTTATGTTATTATTTAAAGAACTGTTATACATGTTTTTATTTTATTTATAGTTTATTAAAAATAATTATAAGAATAAAAATATTCCGTTAGAGTTAACTGAATCATACATCGACTGATCGAAGGACTATAATAAGATGAATTATAGTATTGTTGAGGAATGAAAATGAGACAATATAGAAATGGGGGACTAAAGCAGAACTAAATAATAAGATGGGGGACTATTAGTGAAATTTGGCAAAAAAATATATATTTTTAAAAATTCTAATTTTTTTTTTTGTTTTTTTTTTTGTTACCAAAACACAAAACACAGAAAAAAAGTTTGGATTCATTGTGATGTGTACACTTGTTCTCTCAAGTAGTTGTCGGCATTATTTTGTAGGCCAATGTGTGCAACTCATGATTTGATTTTTTTTTTTTTCTAGATATTGTTCTTTCAATTCATTTTTCCAACATTAAAGAAACACACACACTTGAGGTGTAATAAATCTCAACCGTTGATCAATGTCTTAACAAATGGGAGTAAGCAAATCACAGCCCTTCAATTTTTTTTCTCACATGGGAGTCATGTGGTGGTATTGAATATTGATAGTAGTACCAAAAGAGTGTTTTGGACTTTTGTTGAAAAATCCAAATTCAGTATCAAATAAGTCAACTCATCTCTTACATGCACATGAAAAGGCTTAATCTCATTTTGCACCTTTGAAATATTGTCTTTTGACACTTTGCACCATCGCAACGCAATAAATCGTTTATAATGCACCAGAAATTGAATTTTTAAAACTTAACGAGAGCAACTTCATTTTTTATTGTTTCTTTTTTCATGGTGCAGAATAATAAGTTCAATTGTTATTTTCTTTTTATTAAAAATATTTGTAAGAAAATATAATTTTCAAATAAATTGATAACAAAATAGTTGAATGATGTTATTTTTGTAAAATAATTTGTTGTAATAAAAAGATATATAATTTTAAAATATGTTGATGAGATGTATTTTTTATTTTTGAAATTTGGCTGGAAGAATTAATGTACATAAAAATACAAAATTACCTTCGCTAACTTAAAAAATTCATTTAGTGTGGATTGTGTATGATTTATAATAAATAAAGGGGAAGTTGAATTTTTTTTTTTTAAATCTTATTTGCCCTGTAGTAGTTTCTTTTGCATTTTTTAGATTTTAAAATTACCAAACATTTTGAAAAAACTTATAAACTCTTAAACAATTTATATGTTCTTAAATATCTTATAAGCTGTCTTAGAGCCCGTTTGGCTAAGCTTATTTAAAACATCTTATAAGCTCCTACATCTGATAAGATGTTTTAGGAGCTGATAAGTTGTTTGATCTTATTTTAAAAATTATTTTTTAAGGTGTTTGGATATGTAAATTATAAGTTATTTTTAGTTTTTATAAGTTGTATAGGTGTTTGGAAATAAAATGTCTGTTTATCGCTATAATGACAAAAAAATACATGACGCCATTATAACTGTTAAACTTATTTGACTCAAATATTTTTGTTCCTAAAATATTATTATAATATTTACAAATTAATTTTTCAAATAAAAATAATAATATAAAATTAATATGTTAATATAAAATAAAGGTTGTAAAAGAAATGTAATTTTTTTTGATAAATAAAAGAAATATAACTTATTATTGAAATAATAAGAATATTCGGGTGTTTTATATACATATAAAATGTAAATAGAGAACAACTTTTTTTTACAATTATTATGAAATTAAATTTTTACTAATAATTAATCTTGATTACAAGAATACGCTGTTTTGATAAAATATAAATGTTATTAGTATTCATGTAATATAATAATGTATTTGAGGGTAATTTTGTATTTTGAGTGTTATAGTAAATAATTAAATAAGATGTGAAAGAAAAAAGGTGGAGTGGAGGTATTTTTTTAAAAACATCTTATAAGCTCCCTAACAGCTTATTTTTGAAAAATATAAGATCTTTTCTAATTTTTTTACCAAACACTTTTAAACAGTTTATAAGCTCTTAAACATCTTATAAGATATTTTTATGAGCTTATAAGCTTAGCCAAACAGGCTCTTAATAACCTTCTTAAACCCCTTTTGTGTCCAACTAATCATGAAATCATCCGAGGTTGGTAATAAAGGCAAACATTAATTAACTATGTATAACTTTTATAGGTGAAGATCTAAAGCATAGTTCTGCTGATACTAAGTAAATATTGTACTTTTATTAGAAAGGAAGGAAATATTACACAAAAGTCTATTAAGGTATACAATTTTTCATTTTTTTTTCTCTTTACCTACAAACAATAAATTGATATTAATGCTCCAATTATGGCGAGGTTTAAAAGTATAACTATAAACGAGGTAGGACCGTTTGGCTGAGCTTATTTTTTACAGCTGATAAATTCTTATATCTGATAAGTTGTTTTAATGGCTGGTATCTGGGGCAATTGATTATTCCATTTTTTTGTTTTAAAAATTAAATAAATTATTCCACTTTCACAAAATTCAATCTTAATCTTTAATGAAAACAATTAAAGAAATGCTCTACAAATGACAATATAATAGAAGTAAGATTTTACACAAAATGTGATCCTTTGAAAGAAAAATAATGACATTACATTATATTACAAGGAAAATTTGTTCTAGAATATACTATTTCTTGTATATCGAATATCAAATCGATTCTTCAATTTAAATTAAATTTTGAAAAAATCAATGATTACAAAAAAATAAAAGTTATTTGTATCAACTATTAACCCTACTTTGAATTCTTTAGGTGATAAAATCTTTGAGAGGAAGTTTTAATAATATTGAGAACTAAAAGTGTTAGCAAAATTGAAAAAAATGAGAACTATTGGAATAAATAAGCTAATTGTTGATCTTAATCATATAATAAAGTGATCGATTCTTATTCAAATACGTGTATTTAATATAAATTTATTTTTACTATCCATGTAACAATTGTTTACGTCGAAGAGGTTTTTTAAAATTAAAAAATATACTTACTTACAAATGTTACAAAAAAAAAAATAGTCATGCCATCTCATGTTTAATAGAGCTACGACATGAATACGTAATCAATACATTTGGATTCACACAAGTATTTTTTGTTTCATGCTACATTCGGGCGAACTTCAGTTGACTATATTCTACCATACACGTGTATATATTTATACATATCTTACGAAGATTCATTTAATTTATACACTTGCGCGCGTAAATCAAATACGAAAAAAACTACCAATGCAAACCAGAAGGCGCGAAATCCAAGAAACGCCCGTGAGTATATACATAATACATGCATTCGATTCGAGCTCCATATGTAACATTGAACAAAATGATAAATACCTATAAAATAAAAGAGAAATAGAAATTAAATCAAGAAAGTGTAACACACACACACACACTAGTAGCACACAATGACACAATACAAGTACAAATTTAAATTGATGGTACTAATGCTAATCATGTTTTACAGATCAGTTGCACTAATACGAGTATTATTTATTTATTTTAATTTAATTATTTAATATAAAAAAATAAAATAAATTTTGAAAAATAGATTTGGTGGAGAGGGGGTTTTTTTGACAGAAGGGGCCATACATCGTCAGATCCGTCGTCTGTGTGTGGGCCCCACTTTATATATCCTCTTTGTTCTGCCGGTGCTCCTTCCTCTCTCTCTCTCTCTCTACCGCTAATTAAACACATGTCAATACATATATATATATATATATAACTGTAGAGAGAGAGAGTGAAGAGAGAGAGAGAGATGGTTTAATGGGGATTAGTTGAGAATAGCAGAAGGAAAAGTGTTGGTCGGTACTCTGAGTAAACCAGAAGAATTTTGACGCTCAAGATTGGTGCTTTACTCTCTCTCTCTCTCTCTCTCTCTCTACTGTGAAAACCCTTTCCGATTTTCTTCTATAAAAGGTATAAAGCTCCCTCCTTTTTCCTCTATTTCCCTTTCCCCAGTCGCAGCTCTTCACTCTCTCTCTCTCTCTCTCTCTCTCTCTCTCTCTCTCTCTCTCTCTCTCTCTCTCTCTCTCTCTCTCTCTCTCTCTCTCACACACACACACACACACACACACTTTAGTTTGCCTACATTTGACGGAAATAATCCTGGCACTGATTTTTGTCAACCCCCATTGCTAAGGTATACAAGCATGGTTGATGATAACTGAAATAATTAATTACTGTTTGATTTGATTTCCACTTCAAACTCATTCGTTGCGCCTTTTTTTTTCTTTTTTTTTTTTTTAATTTATTTAATTTGGAAACAGAATGCAACTCATGTTTTTGATTGGAGTGAGTTGTCCAGATCTGAATTATTGCACGAACTCATGTTTGTTTCCATTCATTGAATTAGGACAGTGGTTGTTGAATTTAATTCATTTATTTATCTATTAATTTTATATTCTTTTTGAAATCTTTGTTTAGATCTAAATGCCTAAAAAAAAACAGTCAACACTTTAATTTCTCTAAATTCAAATTTGAACAATAACATATGAATTCATTGTTTTATTTCTGTTTATGTAAGTGATTGATACCGTTCCGGAATTATCTCGACGCTTTTGTTCGAATGTATATGTGATGATGTGTTTCTTCGATTCTAATTCCAGGTTTGATTCTGTTGTTGACCCACATTGTTCGAGATTCTCGAAATCTCGATTCTCGATTACTTTTGTCGGTGTAATGTCCTTTTCGAGAATGCGCGTTCCTTCAGCTCACAAGCCACCGATCGACCGTACAAATGGATCTTCTAGAAGACGGCTATAAATCCGCCTCATTAAATACGGCATCATCCGCATTTTTCTCCGCTAACCAGTCTCCAAATTCGGACAATCCATGCCTAAAAATGGATTCCCCAAAAAAGAAAGATTCCACAAACCTCGATTCGGAATCTTTAACCAGCATCAGATTCGGATCCACCGATGTATACAACAGCGCTCTATCGAGCTACAGTTTCCACCCTTCGAAAGACAAGGGCAAAAGGGTAAATAGATTGCCGGAAATCTCGCCCCAACCATCTCCCTTCACCTCCAACAACCGATCGAGAAGCTACGACGTGTACATAGGTTTTCACGGGCGTAAACCTTTGTTACTTAGGTTCACAAACTGGCTCCGGTCCGAATTAGAGGTACAAGGTTTGAGCTGCTTCGTAACCGACAGAGCCAGGTGTCGGAATTCCCGAAAGCACAGAATAGTCGAGAGAGCAATGGACGCCAGCTCGTTCGGAGTTGTGGTATTGACGAAAAAGTCCTTCAGAAATCCCTACTCGATCGAAGAGCTCCGATTCTTCTCCGGCAAGAAGAATCTCGTCCCTGTGTACTTTGACGTGGGCCCCGCCGACTGCCACGTCAGAGACATAACCGAGAAGCAGGGTGAGGTTTGGGGCGGCAAATATGGCGGCGAGCTTTGGCTGCACTATGGCGGGGTCGAGAAGGAGTGGAGGGAGGCCGTGGCGGCACTTTCGTTTTCCGACGAGTGGAAATTGGAGGCGAGTGGCGGCAAATGGAGGGATTGCATATTACGAGCCGTCACTCTTTTGGCGTTGAGATTAGGGAGGCGGAGCATTGTGGATAGGCTGAGCAAGTGGAGAGAGAAAGCAGAGAGGGAAGAATTCCCTTACACTCGAAACGAGAATTTCGTCGGTCGAAAAAAGGAGATATCGGAGATCGAATTCATGCTGTTCGGCGATGTTTGTGGTGATTCTGAAAAAGACTATTTCGATCTGGAGACGAAACCCAAAAAACCTGACGAAAAACAGAGTAGCAAGAGTAAAGGGAAAGAGCCGATTATATGGAAAGAATCCGAAAAGGAAATCGAAATGAACACCACCACCGAACAACCATTGAAGTACAGGAGCAACGGGAGTAGAAGACGAAGAAGACGATCGAACAGAGTTATTTACGGAAAAGGGATCGCGTGTATATCGGGCGAACCGGGTATCGGCAAAACGGAGCTGCTTTTGGAATTTGCTTATCGTTTCCGCCAAAGGTATAAAATGGTGCTTTGGATCGGAGGAGAAAGCAAATACATTCGACAAAATTATCTTAATTTGTGGTCGTTTTTGGAAATCGATGTTGGTGTGGAGAGCTCTTCTTCAGAGAAAGGCCGAACGAAGAGCTTCGAAGAACAAGAGGAATCCGCCATAGCTAGGGTTCGAAAGGAGCTCATGCGCGATATTCCGTTTTTAGTAATAATCGACAATTTGGAGAGCGAAAAAGATTGGTTTGACCACAAGCTCGTGATGGATCTTCTTCCCCGTTTCGGCGGCGAAACTCATGTAATAATCTCCACTCGTCTCTCTCGGGTGATGAATATCGAGCCTTTAAAGCTCTCTTTCCTATCGGGAATCGAAGCGGTGTCTTTAATGCAAGGGGTTGTAAAAGACCAATCGATTACGGAAATCGATGCTTTACGAGCTATCGAGGAGAAACTAGGGAGGCTTACGCTCGGCCTTGCTATAGTAGGGGCAATTTTGTCCGAGCTTCCGATTAATCCGAGTAGATTGTTAGATACCGTAAATAGAATGCCATTGAGGGATATAACATGGAGCGGCCGCGAAAATCATTACCTAAGACGAAACAATTTCCTCTTGCAGCTCTTCGAGGTTTGCTTCTCGATATTCGACCACGCCGACGAAAGTTTAGCGACGAGAATGGTTCTTGCTAGCGGCTGGTTCGCTCCGGCGGCGGTCCCCACCTCCATTCTAGCTCTCGCCGCCCACGGAATACCGGAGAAGCACCACCACCGCCGCCTGTGGAGGAAGATTATGTACTCGTTGACGTGCGGCTTCACATCGAATTACGCTCGGAAATCCGAAGAAGAAGCTTCTTCGTTACTATTGAGATTTAATATAGCAAGAGGATGCACAAAACAAGGGTACATTCGTTTCAACGAGCTCGTGAGCTTGTACGCGCGCAAGAGGGGCGTTTTGGGCATTTCACACTCGACGGTGCGGGCGGTGTTCTATCGAGGATCCGTGGCCCACGACCCGGATCATATATGGGCCGCATGTTTCCACCTCTTCGGGTTCGGCAAGGATCCGATTCTCGTCAATCTCAAAGTGACCGAATTGCTGTTTGTTGCTAAAGAGGTGGTTCTGCCGCTGGCGGTAAAGACGTTTATGACCTTCTCGAGGTGCGGGACGGCAATGGAGCTGCTCCGCCTCTGCACGGAGGCGCTGGAGGCGGCGGACCAGACGTTCGTGACACCTGTCGAGAAGTGGTTGGACAGGTCGCTGTGCTGGAAACCCGTCCAGACAAACGCTCAGTTGAATCCTTGTCTGTGGCAAGAACTCGCACTAACGAGAGCTTCGGTTTTGGAAGTGCGCGCAAAGCTTATGGCGAGAGGCGGGTTATTTGATATAGGAGATGATTTAATTAGGAAGGCGATTTTTATTCGGACTTCGATTTGCGGTGCGGACCATCCGGAAACCGTATCTGCTCAAGAGACGCTTAGTAAGCTCACTAGATTAAATGCTGCTAGTGTTCTAAATCATACTTCACCATAGATTTTTATTTTTCTTTTTTTTCTTTTTTTTTCGGAAAACGGAGTTCATAATAGATCATAACTTATAGTACATTTTTTTTAAATAAGGTGATTTATATAGATAGATGAGGATTTTTTTTTATATATACCATCTTTTGATTTACTTGTTTTTTTGGCGATTCTTGGATTTGTTTATTGCTTTGTAAATAAACATTTAATGCTCGTCGATACGGTACTCGATTCCGATTGGAATCATGCGTTGCGAAATGATACTTTTTTTTTTCGTGTTTTATAGAATGCGCGTGTGATGTCATTAATATGTGTATTGGTGAAATGGAAGCACGAAACGGAGGATATATCTCGACGGATTCCCGCTTTATAACTTACTGTTGTATATTTTGACCTCTTTATGTATAATGACTCTGTTTTCTTGATCACTATTTGGTATGTTACCTGTTAAGGTTCGTTTCGGTTTCAGTTTCGGGTTTCGGATCTGCGGTTCATTTACACACACCAACATGGATGTGTGTGTGTGTGTGTGTGTGTGTGTGTTTGTGTGTGTGTGTGTGTGTGTGTGTGTGTGTGTGTGTGTGTGAAAGAATTTGTAACAAGCTTATTCCCTGTAGACAAGCCTCCAACAAATTCGACACAAAAATATATAACTAAAATAAAAGAAAAACGAAAAACGGCAATGGATATTATCTTCGTACACGAACGAGCAATTCATACAGGATTCAAATTTTATCATCACATAACATAATTCATGTACAGATAAACAGTTGGGAATATTATTATTACTTTATTTTTTCTAAGGATCGGCTTTTCCGGCAACTTCCTCGTCGCTGGAGGCGGCATATTCATCTTCAGTCAATTCTTCTTCGTCGCTGGATTTTTCTTCCGGTGCAACTCCTGCGTCTTCGGCCTTTGCATATTTTTCACAATACTCTGATAAAAAAAATAATAATAATGTTATTACATCATCACTAAACATATGTTTCATCAACAAAATAAAGTTTATGGAAAGCACAAAAGAATCTTATATGCTATCGAGTCGGTTGGGGATATATAAGTAAGGTTAGACATGACCACGGTTCGGGTGGAACCCACATGGCCGATTAACTGGGTCAGCAGATTTCCGACCCAGACCCAGACCCGATCCGTATATATCATCAAACTCATGAACCACCGGTTCGACCCGGCGGGTTACACCTCAAAAAAAAAAAAACTTCGGACTTAAAATGGCTGGAACTCGTCCTTTTGAAGGGTCGGGATAAACGAGAATCACCATCGACATAAACTTCCATGCAAAAGTCCTATTTATTGGTCAGTGGAGACACAGTGTTTCGATTCTCGACAATCCAGTAAAGCGAGCGATGCTACATTGATATACGACTAAGCACTACGTCAAAGGAAAAAGTCTTTATCATATGGTTGGTTCATTCAAATTGTAAAACCGATTTCAAGAATGATCGTCCGATAAGTAGTAGAACGAGTCTTACAGTTTTAATTTTAAAATTATTTGAATTTCAATTTCGGACAGGTCTACGGAATACACGATCTCCAAACTTGTAGGTCAAGTAAAATACTTTTGTGCAGGTATATTTTAAACGACACGCGTAAAATTTTGCAATCAAAAGGAACCAAAACTAAAGTTGCAAAAAAAAATTAACGAACTCAAGTCACTACTTCGTCCTTCTCCCTACAGTTCAATTCTTTTAGCAATAAATCAAACTTTCTCATATGACAACCAGCAAATGAACGACGAGAGTTATACGTCACCCGAACAAAAGATTAATATCACAGGCTAAATACAGAACTTATTAAAAGTCAAGGACTCGATTGCTACTTTCTCATATGTAACATGATTTAGGACAACTTAGCTCCGATATAGTTTCTTCCATATCTGTAATTTTCTACTTTTCGATCCTTACATGCTCAGATTGTGGATTTCGGTTATTAACAATAAGCGCAACACAAACGAACTTCGATAAAACCGAATATTAAGTTTAGCTTGAAACCTTATAATTTCCATACCACATGCTTCCGTAATTTTCAGAAATTAACTTCAAGAAACAGAGATACTACATTTCTATAGCGTATGAAGATAACAATACAATCGTAAATCGTAATTATATATATACCTTTGACTTTTTGGTCATACGCAGTGCGGTCACGCATCATCAAAGCTGCAGCATCTCCATTCAGAGGGTCGGATGGATTCGGGTACAGAAGAAGTTGAGGAAGAAACACTTCGAACACGTTTACTAGGTCTGCAAAAACAAAATATAAAAAACGAAACACATTATTGTCTCTACTCGATACTCGAGAAAAAATTCGAAAAACGGAATATAGCCATTTCAACTTACCAAACATGGGACTCCATGTCTGATTGATAACATCTAAACACACAGAGCCTGACCTGGAAATCGACGACGATGAAAAAATTGTTAGTTATTCGAACAAATGCATTATCATATTCAAACAAACGATTAAACGGGAACATAATAAACTCACATCTCGTCAACGTTTGGATGGTAAATCTTATTAATGAAACCAATCGAAGGAGATTTATACGGATAAGCATCCGGCAGCTCCACCCTTATCCTCCAAACACCTTCTTGATAAGGACCTGTCGATAAAGAACCGTTTTTTTATAAATGCCACAATAATCAAGAAATCAACTATCTTGCGGATCTATCAAACCGATACGAGTTCTGAAAAACCCGTCACTCGAATTCATCAAAATTCAATGATTACTAGTTAGAAAAACCCGAACGTAAATAATCTTGAAAACGAGCATTCAGAAATGGATTATTAATAAAAATGTCTCCTATTCAACTTCTCCGAATTTCGATTAAATCCAACCTTGCTAATAATATATCTTCGTCATTTACCAAACCGATTTTTCAGCTTAAACATGGAAGAAGCTAGGAGAAGTGAAATGAAATACAGCAAAATTATGAATTTCCAAATAATGCAAAAAAACATTATCAGTACAGCATAAATAATTATTACAAAAAAAAAAAAAAAAAACCAAGTTGAATATAAAAAGAAATAGATCAATGAAAAAAAGAAGGAATTACTTTCTTTGGGTCCATGAAATTCGACAAAGAACTCTTGCATGCCATCATTGATCATCTCCACCTTGTAATCAGTCATCATCCTAATACAAAAACAATAAAAAAAAACCCATTAATCAATCCACACAATTAAATTAAATAAATGAAATAAAAATTAGGCATCGAAGACAACTGAATTAATAAAGTAAAACATTAAAAAAAAAAAAAAAAGAGTGTTAATTACAGTTTCATCAAATCCATTTCCCTGCGTTTGCTTGGGGAAGACATGGGTTCTTCAATTTTTCAATCGTATGGGGAAAATCGATGTGTACGGTGGAGTGTACGTATATATATATATATATATGCGCGTGCTTCTCGTGTGTGTGTGTGTGTGTGTTTTGTGTGTGTCAAGGCGGTGGTTCAGACATCAAAGAGCGGAAGTGGGGGGATGAAGCTCTGAGGTTTTTGTTTTGGCTTTAATTGCAATTTCTCTTTTAACTATTCTTTCTTTTTTCTTTTCGTTCTTTTTTTTTTTCCCTTTCAATTTATCATTTTTTTTCTTGACAAATAAATAGTTCCTATTTATTATTTTGGGCAAATTACGGCCACCATTCCTAAAATATGGTCAAATTACTAAAAAATCAACATGTTTGGTTAATTACAAAAGGAGGGAAGTTTTCGTAAGACAATACATAGTCAAATAATTAAGGGCGGATTGTAATTATTCAAACAAAAAAGTTTTTCTTTACAATTTAACCATACTTCAGGGTTAACCGTAATTTCTTTGCAATTTAACCATACTTGCACAAATGGTTGTAAATGTTCTCAAAGCCGATTTTCATTTTATTTGGGAATTTGAGGTATTTAGAGAAAATAATTTGAAAAATATAGATTTTAATGATAATTTCATCACGTATAGATTATAGTTAGGGCGGAAAATTGGAACGAAATTTTTTATTTCTATCAATTTCGATATGAAAGTTGTATGATTTTCAAAACCCATTCCCGTTTTATTTTGGGAATTTACGATACATAGAGAAAGTAATGTGAAAAATATAATTTGCATTGATAATTTCATCACATATAAATTGTAATTAGGGGTGGAAACGGGAACGATCATATTTGAATCCCCCAATTTCAATTTGAGTTTTTTTTTTTAATTTCTTTTTTTTAATTTTGAACAATATTTACGATACGATAAATGATAATGTACGATATGTGGAGGAAAACGATACGGTAATGTATTCCGATATGATAACCATGATTGTCACCGCTTTATAATAAAATTACGAAAGATGCATATTAAAAATACGATACATAATATTATAAATTACTATAAACAAGGGGAGGAAATTTGAAAATTTTCCATCTTTTTCGAAAATAAAAAATCAGTTCCAATTTATGTGCCAAAAAAAAAATCGGAATGCGAAAATTTATTCTTTTTTTTCGAAAAGCATTGGAATCGGCGGAATTTCAAAATTTTTGGAAATAACATTAGTTTATTATCTATTGTTCCAATTTCGAATATAATGAGAATTTTCACAATATTTTTTTTTTTGAAATTTTGCAAGAAAACCAAAAGAGAGTTTGACAAAATGCAATAAATAAAAACACGTATAGGAACAACAAATTGAAACATAGATTTTCTTATGAAAAATGCAACATAATGTTTCTGATACCAATTAATATTTTCGAAAGTTTTAATATTCTACTCGACCAATTCGTTATTTATATTTTTCACTTAACATATAACATAAATTATATTATGGAATTACAAAATATATCATAAAACTAGTATTTCACCCGTGCGTTGCACGGAGGTGAGTTTAAAAATGAGAAAGATAAACTTACGTAAACGACTATCTCTTTATAATAATACCAATTCAAGTAAAACAAAATGGAATGAAATAAAAAATATAAACTTTATCTCTTAATTTAGAGTTGTAACATATGAAATTAAGTTAAACATTACCAATAAGAAAACATGAAAGCGCGCAAAACACGATATCAAGATTAAGTGAAATCATTTAAAACATATGGTATAACTCTATTTCTTGGATTGCAATCTACTACACCATGTGAATCTTCTGCAAAATAACTAAGGTAACAACAAACATGGTAGCAGAGAAGTAACACAATAGATATTCAAATAACCTGCAAGTTTATCGGTAATGGCGTTCAATTAGTGATGCACATTACTCAAACAACAATAAAACTTATAAATATTGCAAAAGAGATCTATGATGTATACGCCACTACCAGTACTGATACCAATACCGATACCAATATTATTACCAATGGTGATACTAATTCGATTAATACTAATACTAATACTAATACTAATACTAATACTAATACTAATACTAATACTAATACTAATACTAATACTAATACTAATACTAATACTAATACTAATACTAATACTAATACTAATACTAATACTAATGTTAATACTAATAGTGATACTAATGTTAATATTAGTACTAATACTAATACTAATACTAATACTAATACTAATACTAATACTAATACTAATACTAATACTAATACGAATAATACTAATATTGATACTAATACTGATACTTACATTGATAATGATAGTTATATTGATACTAATACTAATACTAATACTAATACTAATACTAATACTAATACTAATACTAATACTAAGAATAGGACTACTGATACTAATATTAATACTAATAATAATACCGATACTTATAGTGATACTAATAGTGATATTGATACTAATATTAATACTAATAGTAATACTAAGACTAATACTGATACTAATAACAATAATAATTCTGATACTGATACTAATACTTATACTCATACTGATATTCATACTAATATTATATTAATACTAATGTTAATACTATACTGATATTGACACTAATACTGATACTCATAGCAATATTAATATTAATAATAATACTAATACTAATACTAACATTGATATTGATACTCATACTAATACTGACAATCATAGTAATAGTAATACTAATATTGATACTTACAATCATACTAATACTCATACTAATACTGATACTAATACTGATACTGATAGTGATACTAATATCGATATTGATACTGATACTGATACTCATACTGATACTTATATTGATACAAATGTTGACACTGAAACTGATACTGATACGGATACGAATACTGAAACTGAAACTGATATTGATACTAATAATGATACTGATATTCATACTGATACTTATTGTTGGGTGCTATATACCTAACACGCAAGTGCACGTATCGCAAACAAGTAGTAAAAGTGGACTCGTGCGAGTCGGATGTCGATCCCACAGGGAATACTCAAATTATCTAATCCTAAGTACCAAATTCTAACAATTATGATTTTTATCCAGCCTACGCAAGTTTGTCAAATTAATCAATTAAATAATTAAACTAATTAAAAAAGCAGATAATCACGAGAAAATATCAATAAAAACGGACCTAGGATTTTATCTTCCCCCTATGCAAGAATTGCTCACCCAAAACCCCTCAATTATGAAATATATGATTCATGATTATTAACCCGAGACACTAATTTACTCATAACCCGCTATCGCGTGTATTATGAGTCTATTATTCATAAACGATTCACTATATGTCTATGCAAACCAATTATAAATAAAGCATTAACTAACAAGTCTCGTAAATGGCTACCTAAGGTGATATCTGTATGTCTACGACACCACATGCAATTGACACGCTCATCCGGTGAAAACTACTCGAAGGCTCTTCTACTTACCGTCAAATTATCAAAATAGCTCTGTCGAGTCAATCCCAATAATCACAGATAAAACACATAAATTGATCAAGTTCATGCACTAACAATCATAACAAGTATAAGAAATTATCATAAAATCATAATTGCATAATCTCAAGAAAACGGGTTCACCATCCCCACATAGGGTTCCGACAAAATCCTAGATTAAAAACTTAGCTACGCGTAATTCTTATGATAAACAAAATAAAAACATAAAAAGCAAAAATTAAGAAAAGATAGATAAAAGAAGAATTGTGATGAAGAGTTGTCAATTCTCCGTCTTCAATTCTTCGTTCTCTCGCTCCTCTCGGTCCAAGGTGTGTCCAAAGTCCTTTGATTCGTGCTTGGTTTGCTCTTAAATAGATGCCCCAACTTGGTAGATGATTTTAGGTTTCCTTGTGTGATTAAAAGTCCAAAATTGTGTCCAGCGTGTGTTGGCACGGCCGCGCGAAAATCAGTGCAATTCTCGCACGGCCGCGCGAGAATCGCCGAACCTTCTGCCCAATTTCAGCATTTGGCACGGCTGTGCCAACAATAGGCTAATTTTGGCACGGCCGTGCGGGCCTGTTTTCAGCGAATTTCAGCATATTTTTGATTATTTCACTTTTGGCCCATATTTTCTTCAAAATTGCAGTTTTGATCCCAAACTTTTCTAATCCATCAATTTTTACCTAGAATACCATAAATTAACTTTTTAAGCACCAATTATCGTTAAATCATACCAAAAGCTCAAATAAAAAAGGTACGATAAAGTATAAAAATATACACTTAACACACCCCCAAACTTGATATTTTGTTTGTCCTCAAGCAAAAACTAGCAACTCTCACAGCAACACTCTCAACAAATGCCTCTCATCACATAGATTAATGGTCAACTTTCATTTTTTCAGAACTTGCAATTATCATGACAATTCTCAAAAATTTACAAGCTCGTAATTCAAAGATACGTATTCACTCACCATTGCTAAAACCCACAAACCATGCTATCGCTTCAAGTATCCCATATTTGCTAATTAAAAATGGAGAAAATTTATACTTACATAATAATATTCAACTCCAAAGACTCACCAAATTTCTCTACTCGGCTAGTATCAAATAATTGAGCTATTGGGATCATTGGGACTTTTTGGCTTTCAAATGTTGGGCTTTTTGGTTCGAGGTAGGAAATATGGGTATATGTGGCTATGCTTCTTGAATTGAGGTGATTACGCCAAATTTTGAAAGATAGGCGTTTGAAACAATGAATTCACCTCTAAGGACTTTAATAAACTCGATTCTTAAGAGTTCAAAAGTCTCCACTTTTGTTCTTAAGACAATGGAACGAGCTTTCAAAACAATTTAACAACTAGTCCTTACTTCCCCTTCTAGTCTCTTCTTCTTCTTTCTCTCTTTTTTTTTTTTTTTTTTTTTTTTTTTTTTTTTTTTTAATTTAGAAGAAGAAGGACCTTATAAAAAAATTTCGACCGAACTCCAAGGGTTAATTTTTCAAAAATCTCCACTTATTCTACCTTATACACATTGGCTAAAAGAAAGAACACCGTTTCTCCAAGGCTCAATCAAGGTTCGAATGATAAAAATTTAAAGGTAGGCTTGAAAGGCTCAAACGGTTCAAAGATGGCCCAAATCACTTCCCAAATTGCTCAACAATTTAATATTTCACTTTGTAAATTCATAAGACAAGTTCTAAAACCGAA